CTCTTTCTAGAGTCTCAGCATCTTTTTTACATCGTGGTGACCAAAACTGGATGCAGTATTCCAAGTGTGGCCTTACTAAGGCATTGTAAAGTGGTATTAATACTTCACGTGATCTTGATTCTATCCCTCTGTTAATGCAGCCCAGCACTGTGTTGGCTTTTTTGGCAGCTGCAGCACACTGCTGGCTCATATCTAAGTAGATTGCATTGTAGATAGTGTAACTTTGTCCAGTCATGCTTAGTTCAAAAACAGAATCTGAAATAGTCTCCAGCTTCTCTTCCCCAGTACATCTTTTCTCTGACTTTGGCTTTAAAATGGAATTTGAGAAGGAACATAAATAAATAAATAAAAATATTTATTTCACTTCCATATATTTTGATCCTCCATAAAAAGATTAATTTGCCGCTTCCATTAGTATAAGGGTGGGGAGGAAATCCCCCCCTTCCTTTTCAGAGGTATTTTGCTTCTTGGGGATCTTTTCCATGAAATTAAATATAGAATAGAAAAGAGAAGATCCAATTCCTCAGCCAGTTTCAAGCACGCTGTTCACAATTGTGCTGATTAGTACTTTTGGACTTCAGTTGCTAGTAGCTTGGGTTGGTTGATGCAATATAGCCAGCCTTTCTCCTGTTGTGTTAGAAGGCTTTCCCCAAGTCGAACGGAACAGCCGCCACCATTACAGAATTGCTGGAGCACCCTTCTTTCTTTGACGCCTCTCCAGGGTAACTTAGACCCATTTAGGGTTCCCCTGGCAGGGCGAAATTGGCCATGGGGGTGCAGAGAATCAATAAGCCCATGACCAGTAGTTACCACGCAAAACCAGAAGTCCTAAATTTCCATAAAATTTATACTTACTACTATAGGAATTTTATGCTTGAGTACATTTTCCGCACTCTTAGTATCATTTTGGTAATGCAGGGAAAAGCTGAAAAAAGGAAGAAGGGAGTTATCTATCTTTTTCCCCTCTGAAATGCTAGTTTGAAAACTGAGCAGTTTGGACTAGAAATCAGATTTTTTTGGCAAACTTTATTTTTCTAGAAAATATAACATTTTCCTGCATTGAATGTTTGGAAAAAGCTATAATTTGCTGAGCCAAAATATACTGTGTGGCTGTTCCCGTGTTTTTAAAAGAAAAAAAATTCATTGCTCATATAAATAATGGGATTTCCTTTCTTATGAAGTGCATATATTGTTCTTCATTACTCTGAAAAAAAGAACTATTTCTGAACAAATTTAGCAAACTGAAAGAAGTTCTAGTTGGAACTAGAGTAAAAAGTCTGCTAAATAAATATATATAAAAAGATTTCACATGTGTTTCTTTGTTAGCTGCCTCTTTCTGTTCAAATCAGGCCTCAGAATAATAATATAGCATTTGGGGGAAAAGATACAGCACAGTAATCCAGCTGCAGACATCAAAATGGAGAAGACCTCCACAGCCACCATGTATTTTCCTTTGCTGCTCAGATAGGTGGGAAAAAAGGATATCCAGACATTGCAAAAGACCAACATACTGAAGGTGATAAATTTGGCTTCATTAAAGCTATCAGGTAACTTCCTGGCTAGAAAGGCCACCGTAAAGCTGATAGAAGCCAAGAAACCCATATAACCAAGGACCATATAAAACATAATGGCTGAGCCTTCATTACATTCCAGAACAATTTCATCAACCATGGAATGCATGTCTGAATCTGGGAATGGGGGAGAATTTGCTAGCCACACACTACAAATGATGACTTGTACCAGGGAGCAAGACAGGACAATAGTGCTGGCCAGCCTTTTCCCCACCCATTTCCTCATTTTGGAGCCTGGCTTGGTGGCCATGAAAGCAAGGACCACTATGGTTGTTTTACCCAATATACAGGAAAGGGCTACAGAGAATATGATGCCAAAAGAAGTTTGTCTCATGAGACATTTTACTTGGTCAGGTTGTCCAATGAACAGCAAAGTGCAAAGGAAAGAGAGGAAGAGAGCAACGAGAAGAGTGTAGGTGAGGTTCCGGTTGTTAGCTTTGACAATGGGAGTGTCCTGATTTTTAATGAAGACCCCCAGTACCACAGCTGAGATGAAAGAAAAAAAGAAAGCAGCACTAGTCAAGGTGATTCCTAAGGGTTCTTTATAAGACAAGAAGGTTGTATGTTTTTGAATGCACAGATCCTGGTTCTTATTAGGGTAGTTTTCTTTAGGACATGGGATACAGTCATCTAAATCTGGAAGAGAAATAGAGTTGTCAAGCACATAAGAATTGAAAGTTAGCTTAACTATCCCCAACTTTCAGAAATAAAATATTTGAATGCCTGGAATTTCCAGGTATTCATCACAGTGTCTGGGAATTAGGGAATTTAAATTCAATTTATCTGGAAAGTTATAGTTAAGAAAAAATTAAATCTAATTTGTCTGATAACTTATCCTTTGATATTAGATTATACATTCAGATATCATTGTACATTTCAAATTGAATTGTACCTCCCACTTACACTATTGCTTTAGGGGAAATAAATTGGTGCATTAGAAAAAATGAACAATATTTATAGTAACACTGATCAACAAAAGACAGATTAGGGCTTATTTTCTGGTTAGGTCTTATTTTGAGGAAAATACGGTACTAAATGCATGTGTCTGGCTGATGATTTTAATTGGGGCTTATTTTTGTGGTGAGGCTTATATTACAAGAATCCTGAAAGATCTTGCTAGGGCTTATTTTCCAGTTGGGTTTTACTTTGGGGAAAACACGGTATAACATATTTAATTTCATAATGTATGCATGTTGCATTTTGTCGTGTTGTATGCTGTAAGAAGTTTATCAACCAACTGAATGCAATTTGGTGCTCTGTAAAAAAAGGGTATGAATCAGGCCATTTAGCTCAAATCTGAAACCAATGTATATGCTCTCTCTAAATAAGATTATAAACCCTCCTTTAGAGGGAAAAAAGCAAAAGCAAAAAGAATACCCTTTGAATTTGATAGATGGATGATAGATTGATGATTAGATAATAGATAGATAGATAGATAGACAGACAGACAGACAGACAGACAGACAGACAGACAGACAGACAGACAGTTCATGTTCCACTGACTTTTTTGTGAGTTGGGGGGCCTTGTTGACTAGAAACAATCCCCATGGACATAGTACCTATCCATCTCCTAAGGGTGTATAGCCTGTATTCTGCTTTAAACTTATTAACCTTCAGAGTTAATAGATATCAAATGTTATCAATCCTCCCCAATAAATCAGGCAGGAAAAATAAAGAAGTGAGCAAATTCTACATTGTTATAAGGCTACATTAGAAGAATTTTGCAAGTCCAAAAACACAAAACCTTTCTCTTCCACGTTTAGCTCTATTTACCCATTAAGGCAGGCCCTTTTAAAATTACTTTCTCTGACTCTTCATTGTAAATAGCATATCTTGCCCTTTTCCACCAAGGGCATTGTTACATTCCATTACACAACTTCTTGCATGATATCTCTTACCTGTCTGGTTGGCAATTTTCCCTTCTGGGCAACAAAGGCATTTGTAACAGCAAAATGGCTTCCCTTCTATTTTGACCTTGCTATATCCCAAGGAGCAATGAGCATTGCACAAAGAAACAGGTTGTGTCTGTTAATAAATGAAAGTAC